CGTTAAAATGCCGCCGCTTCGTGACAGGGAACCGAGCGTCTCTTGCAGCAACCCTGCGCGAGGAGGGGAGGGTCTGGGTGCAAGCGCCCACCAGCTCAGGGTTAATCCTTCCTCTTGCACAAGCAGCAGCTCCTCGGACTTGGACTCTCCATGGCCCAGGTTATGCTCGAACCCAGACACCCAACAAACACCCACAGCCCCGGCCGGCCGGGTGATGCTCCCTGACAAGCCCAGGCAGGGTGGCAAAGGTGACAGGTGTGTTGGCGGTGCGAAGGCACATGGTTTTTTCGATGCACCCTGGGGCACGGGGCTGCACCATGCCTCTTGCCTCCTCTCCCTCCTCCCGAACCCCGGGCGCCGTCACTCTTTGGCCTCGCCACGGTGTGCATCCTCACTTCCCGCTCTCCTCGGAGAGGGTGTTGCAGCGGAGGAGACTTTGGGAGGAGGACGGGACGGAGGAGGAAGGCGAGTGCTGCTGGAGCTGCCAGATTTATCAGGGCTGGGTGCATCGTCTGTCCCCATGCCTGGGTGTCCCTTGCTTATAAGGAAACTTGTAAACACTTTTTTCTTTTAAAATAGCAGTAAAATCTACAAACCCAAACAAATAAGCCAGGCAAGCTGCTCTCTGGATAGGCTTGCTAGCAGAGCCACACCAACGTGAGGAAAACCTATGTCAGAGGAAAAGGAAGCTATTTGGGGGGCAAAAATAGGTTGTAGTTACCGAGAAACCATTTAGGATGAAAATGCTCCAAATTCTTCCTTTCCTAAGCAGGGCAAGAGAATGCTCCTGTTTTGTTGACAAACCGACCCTGGGAGTGCTGGGCACGAGCTGCGAGCTTGGGGAAACCTCTCCCAAAAGCATGAGAGCTCCCAAAAAGGGACACATTGGGGTGCAGGCGGAGAAGGGGTGCTGGCTTTCGCTGCCAGAGAACTTCTGCTCCCCTGCCAGGGTGCGGGCAGGGGAGTTGCAGAACTGCGCTGGGCACGGGCCCAAGTCTAGAGGTCAAGGTTGAAGAGCAC